GGTGAACTGTGGGAGCAGTTGCTGATTTACAACAAGCTGATTCTGACAAAATCTAGCTCAGCTTGTGATAAAGAAATATAACTCAACATTAGATACAAAATCTAGTCCATTCTTTTTTGCACCAAATGTTATTGAGGCATTCAGAAAAATGTTAAAATACCTTTCGTGGATGACTTTTCTCCAGTAAATTTTAATCACACCAAATATGCAAGAAACAAAATGCGGTTATTTCCTCTATAATTAAATTGACTAAATTCACAAGTTCATCACAGTAGTAAAATAGCATTTACCCAGTAGTAAAATGACAAATAACTGGCTTTCTCTTGGGCTTCAGATGGAGGCGTTTATTAGGTCATATATTTAAACCTATGCAGACTATCATTTGCCCTAAACTGTTTCAGATTTGTTAATTTTGCAACAAATCTTGTGTTGCAAAAAAATAAAAATGTAAGTAAAATTTGACCTTTAACTGAAGCCCACAGTCAAACCTGGTGCAGCGTTTTTTCAGTCAAATGCCAGCTACGTCCCTATAAATAAAGCCAGTTACAAACTTCAAAGTAATAGATAACCTTGAACTTTCAGAGAAGAAGTATCTTTATTTTAATCCATTTAAGCCTGCATATAAGTGGTTTCAGGACATAATGGTTCAAAAACTCAGTATTCCCAGAGATTGATTATATCTGACTCTAAAGACCCAATGATAATACAACATAATTAAACATGTGAGGCATGTACGACTTTGAAATACATTATTTGCAGGGCAGATAAAGAGAAAAGAAATGGGATTTTTTTCTTTTTTTTAGATGGGATTTTGAGAATGTAAATCTGGTTTTTAAATGCTTGGCTAAATCATTGCCTTATCTCTCTCTCAAATCCCGCATGAAGTTAGTTTTCATAGACTCAGATTTGGGAGCTCTCAGTCTAATTCCCGACTCAGTTCCAGACTCTCCTTTGTGTTGCTGTAATCTCAGGCAGCCTCTCAAGGCAGCCCTTTCCTCTGTTGAAGGGATCATTGCTGGAAGCCTCTTCCTTACGTTGTTACATCCTTAAATCATGTCCTTGTAATGTCTCGCAATCATTAGTCGTTGTTCAGCCCTGTTTCTGTAACATAGAAAAAGCCCCTCCTGCCCCTAGAAATGACCCAGATCCTGCAATCGTCACTCATATTATACCTCTCTCAGACTTCTCCCTATTCTGGATACTATATCCCTGACTGACTCAAACTTGTCAATACCAGTTTTAAAATATGAATCACAAATTCACCTCTACAAAATTTATTGAGTACCATGTACATGCTAGGAATTGGGCATCATAAATAGATAATTTGCAAATGTATAAAACAATAGCCCTGTCCTCCAGTAGTTTCCAAGTGGGAATAGAACAATTCTGCACCTCTCTCCATGCTTCTCTTTCTACCCCACCCCACACTCCCTCTAAGGGGGGAGTTGTGTCTATGGTTGGGTAGATCCCAGGAGAGTCATTGGGCCATGTTTTGCTAGAGGACTGGGTGGCTGAGCATTGAAAGATCACCACCCATTTGTGGTGCCCTCCCTACCTTCCTATTTTACACCACGGCTATACTTGCTGTTTCTACCTTAACTGTCTACACTGGTAAGTGCCCACTTGGGCCCTCTCCGTTCCTCTCTGTCTCCATCTCTCTCTCTGCACTGGAGGTGGAGGTGGGAAGGGTAAGAGTCCCACTTTGAGCCAAAGCTGTCTATTCCAACTTAATTTTCCTAATGGATTCTACTTCGTGGAGCAAGGGCATTGGTTCAAATTTAATCATGGCACTTTATTCTCATTCTGCCATTGTTCTTTACACACAGATTCCTCAGTCTGAGTCCCCATGAGGGAGAGGAAGGAGGAGAAGCTTGATCCAGGCATTCCTGGGACCTGATGGCTAATTCCACCAGATGAACACTACAACTCCACCCAGAAATACCAACACTCACAAATCAGACATGATTTTTAAAAATATGCATAAGAGGAGAACAAAAACATGGATTTCCATGGGTTGGAAATTGGGAGATGAAGTGGAGGTGGTAAGTCAAGGTGCAGGAAGGACTGGAATTTTCAGCAAGTGCAGCTGGAAGACTATGGAGGGAGAAGGCATCCTATGAGGGGGTGGGGTACACTAGAATGTATTCAGGGAATGGTGAGATCTCAAATGTGGTTGAAACATGCAGGAGAGAGTGTGGAGAAGAATGCTGGAAAGAGGAGCTGGCCGAGATGTAGAGAGATTTGACTACAAGGCCAAGGTTTTACCCCTGTCTTGGTAGGCAATGAGGAGTTGCTGAGGGTTGGGGTGTAGGGAAGTAGAAGTGGTCCCCACACATATGATGATGGAACTGGCCATAGGGACCAGGGTGAAGAGAAAAGGAAGGCTGGGCACTTTTAGGCCAGAATTTTATAGTCCCGTTTTATTCTAACGCTTTCTCTGTTGGAAAAATGTCAATAATTTCTCTTAGTATTTCATATTAATTTTTCAAACCAAGCTTGTACAACACCCTAAACCTGTTCTGTCCAAGATTTGGTTGGGGGCAGGGGGAGCTGTAGGGGAGGAAGACATTTCCTCTACCCTCTCTGGGTTTGCCTGGCTGGAGAACGAATTAAACTCATGAGACAGAATAGCAGGAGAAAATTAAACAAAGCTTTATAACATGTATACATGGGAGAGGCTCAGGCAAGCTGAGCAACTTGCCAAAATGGCTGAAGCTCCCACCTTAAATATCATCTTCAGCTAATGGACAAAGGAGGATGTTGGGGGTGGAGCCGGAGTCCGTCATGGGAGATTACCACACAAGTACAGTAAACAAAATGCAGATTTCAGTCCTTGCCTTTGGTATTGATTAAGAGTTTCTAGAGATAAAGTCATCCCCTTTCTTCTTCCTGGTATAGAGGGAGGCACCTTTACAGATGGAGATTTCCCTTACAAATGTAAATGTCTCCTAACAAAGGGCAAGTAAATTCTACTTTTCAGTTGCTCTCCTGTCTGCAAAGTAACCAGCCTCAAATAATCATCATGCCAAAGAGACATATCTTGGGGTGGCCAATTCCAGGCCCCCACAAAGCCAACTCAACATACTCTTATCATGGACCAAATATCAAGTCCAATTTTTAAAAAACATTTATTGAGCAATTCTACGTGGCAGGCACCATCCTGGGCTGGCAGTACTGGGTAGAAAATATAGACCAGGTTCCTGGCTTCCAGAACTCACAGCCTGATGGTGGAAATACACATATGAAGAAGCCATAGTGTTACAATGCAGGTTAGGGATGCTGGGACAGAGGAGGGACACCAGCCAGCCAACCCAAGAAAAAGCACAGCTTTGAAGTATCTTTCAGGAGACCTCTTGACTTGGGGGTCCTTTATCAGGTTTAATTAAATTAAGAGTAATATAATACATTTAGATCCCTTTTTATTTTAAAATATAAAATAACGGGGGGCCGGCCCCGTGGCCCAGTGTTTAAGTTTGCACGCTCTGCTGCAGCAGCCCAGGGTTTTGACCGTTCGGATCCTGGGTGTGGACATGGCACCACTCGTCAGGCCACATTGAGGCAGCATCCCACATGCCACAACTAGAAGGACCTGCAACTAAGATATACAACTGTGTACTGGGAGGATTTGGGGAGATAAAGCAGAAAAAAAAAAACAAAAACATTAGCAACAGTTGTTAGCTCAGGTGCCAATCTTTAAAAAATAAAAGTAAAATAATTTTATGTGTCAGCTTAACTGGGCCATGATACCCAGATAATCAGTTAAATATTCTTCTGGGTGTGTCTGTGAGGGTGTTTCCGGACGAGATTAACATTTGAATCAGTAGACTGAGTAAAGCAGATTGCCCTCCCTGATGTAGGGGGGCCTCATCCAATCTAATTAAGGCCTGAATAGATCAAAAAGCTAAATAAGGACAATTCACTCTTTCTACCAGGCTCTGAGCTGGGACATTGGTCTTCTCCTGCCTTTGGATTTAGACTGTTACCTCACAATAGGAAGTTACATCATCAGCTCTTCTGCTTCAGACTTGGACTAGAACTTCTCAGCCTCCATAATCACATGAGCCAATTCCTTATAATAAATCTCTTTATGTATATATCCTGTTTGTTGTGTGTCTCAGGGAAACCCTGACTAACAGAATTTGACAGTGCTATCCTCATGGTTGGTTGGAAGGGTAAAGTGGGTTCATGGAGAATGGAGAATGTGACAAACTCTTTCCCATGGGTGGTTGGAGGGTGAAATGGTTGATGGAGAATGTAGGTTATGACAATGCCACCAAAATGGAGGTCTAGTGTATAATGGAGATTATGACACTTTCCCCTTCGGTGGGTGGGAGGGTGAGGGGGTTTGAAGGAAAATGGAGATTATGACCACGCCTCTCCCCACATAGCTGAGGAGTGACAGTAGTGGAGAGAATGTGGTGACTTGACCCCACAAGGCCCTGAGTGGGGTCTAAACAGGACCATATTGATGGACAGGCATGTGCAGGATTAGGAGAGCTGGGAGCAGGGCTGTCTGCACTGAGGCTTGAAAGATCATCAGGAGTTTTTACTGGGCCAGACATGGAAATGCCTGTAATACTTAGGAGAGCCCTGCCTACGCCCTGGCATGACTGGCCCTTGAAGCTGCCCATCTTCTGCCTTTTGGCCAGTCCCAGCTGAACCCCAGGGCCCTCACCTCAACCACTCCAGTGCTGCCCAGTGACCCAAGTCTCTCTCCCAGGGTCCACCTACACCAGCAGCATTTAGAGACCACCACCAATCCCTGATGTCTCCCCACCCACTGCCCAGCTGTGGTCGAGCCAACTGGCACAGAACTCAGAGCCCTCCTGGCTCTCCTGGGTCCCCATCTCCTCAGTCTGTGCCCACAGGCTGTCCCACTCGGGAACTTCTTCCTTGCTATGCCATCTTCCCCACTGGCCCTCAGTCATCTCTGCCCACCTCAAGCTTTCAGCACCTACCTACCTACCCTAATTGCCCCATATGCAGCCTCCCCTACTAACCTCACCGGTTTAGGGTCCAGCTCCACAGGATGTCCAGCCATTGTCTTCATGAGGAGGGGAAGGGCGTCTCCAGCCAGCAGACAGGAAGGTGGGGTGCAGTTGCTGTGTGTCTCCTGTGCCCCTGCTGGACACTGGACAGGCTGGTGGACTGCCCTGCAACCTCTCTCATGAGCCACCTTCAAGAACAGAGAGTGGAAGAATGTCCTCGAGCTAGCGAGGACTTGAGCAAAGGGAATCCAGAGTTACCTGCACATCCACTTTGAGGCTGTGATGGGCAAGAAGGTGGCCATGGCAGGCAGGGAGCCAAACATTTTCATGTGCTCCTCATGAGGGTCTCCCCATGGCCCTGGGAGCTGGGTCTCTCATTGTGCCCACTTTCAGGGTCTCAGTGGTCACTTGCCCAGAATTATACAGTGAGAAAGGGGTTGGGCAGAAAATACATGCTGGGGCCTTCTGACTGAGGCCAAGGCCCTTGCTCAGCACTGCCTGTGCTGTCTTGACCTCACAGAAGCAGAAACATGAAGGCTGAGGAGGCTACGACTCAGCATTGTGAGCACCTTCCATGTGCTATGGCTGTGCAGGACTGGGGATACAGAGGGGAATACACTGGGGCTGCCTGCTTTCAGGGGACTTTCGGTGTCATGAGGAAGGGAGACATTAATCAGACCCACAAACACATACATGACTACAATTGTGAAGTCGGGGTTGGTGGGGGGAGTCTGAGCTAGTGAGGGGGCCAGGAGGGCACCCTGGAGGAAATGACTGAGAGTGGGATGATGGGCAGGACTAGCCAGGTGGCCGACACTCCAGGGCAAGAGAGGAGCACCTGCAGAGGCCCAGTGGCATGAAAGAGATGGGCCAGTTCTGGGAAATGCAAAAAGTCGCTGCAGCTGAAGAAGAGGGGCCTTTAGAAGCTGTGAGTGAGGGCAGGTGAGGAGCCCCACTCCTGGGACCGCAGCAGCTGATGGGAGATGCCGCCTAGTAGACCCCTCCCCCAGGGGGCGCTGTGGAGTGGGGAAGGAGCCCTGGATAGTTGGGGATCAGTGCATCCGCCTGTAACAAAATGCCAACATAACAATGACTGTGAAGTTGTTCTCTCTCGTGTAAAGAAGTCTGGATTCTCCGTGCCAAGATTAGGGCCCTATCTCCATCTTTCTGCTCCATCACCCTCCCATGACTTTCATCCCTGAGGCACCACCTGAGGGAGTCCAGCCATCACATGCGCACTCCACATCTGCAGGAAGAAGGGGAAATGGCAGCGAAGGGGCTGCTGCCTCACTTCCAGATCCTCCTCAGAAATCCCACACAGCCCTTCTACTCAAAACTTAGTTACATGACCACATCAGGGCTCAAGGGAGCCAAGAGACTAGACATCTTAGGATGGGTGCGTGGCTCTGTAGGAAAGAGGAAGGAGAGGGGTGTGCATTAAGACTATAGGAGCTGCCTGAACAACCGCCAACACCTTACAGGCTTATCCTAGGACAAGCTCCTCTGAGAGTTTGTAGATGAATTCCTGGTCTGTAGGCAGATTCCCTCCCTGCAGGGACTGGGGGAACTCAGGCCCTTTATCTTCGGGACCCACCCTCATCTGGGCCAGGCTTAGACTTGTCCTCTGACTTACTTTCACAGCAGTGACCACAAGGAGCACACTGAATCGTTCAGGTTCTCAGTCTCCCTGTTGTTTTTGCTTGTGTCGTTTTACACTATAAAGACATTGGTCTGGGTGAACGGCTGCACTCTGTTGATGGCCCAGACCATAAACCATTCATCACACACCTTTATTCTCGACGTGTGCTTAGCACTAACTATGAGGTAAGCAAGATGCGAGGAAACTGGAGGATACAAAGGGAATGGGATATGACTTTGACCTACCATGGCCTATGTCTCATTAGGATAAACACAAATTTTGGTAGTTAGAAAGTGGAATTGGCACGAGAAATATTTAGATTATTCTGGGGATGAAATGGATCAGCTAGGGTGCCTTCAGCTTCATGTCACAGAATTTCTGGCCCAAAGCGGCTTCAGCACAGGTGGCTTTGATCTCACCAACAAGGAGTCCAGAGTCAGGAGGCTCTAGGGTTGATGAATGCTCCTGTCAGCAGGGGCAGCCTTTCATCAGCTCCTCTGGGATTCTCTTTACTTCTTTCCCCAGGGTCTCACTGTGGCTGCTACAGCTGCTAACACCACACACTCACCCCACCAGGTCAAAGGCAGACAGTGATGACTGTTTCCTGCCATCTGCCTTTCTCTAGTTAGAGAGAGAAAACTTTCCCAAACACCACTTGCCTCCCACAGAGGCATCTGCTCAGGCCCTATTGGCCAGAAGTGGGGCAAATGCCCTCCTCACCCCACACCACTCCTAGCAAAGAAGAAGAGGATGATTGATTTCCTCCAGTCATAATTCATTCCTTGGGAATGGGCCTCCTTTCTCTGAGCCCACTGCATCAGGAGACCAGAACAATCTACATTTTATCAGTATTACCGTTACTCAGTGTAGAACAAACAAATGACTGCTGGGGAAAATACCAACAATGTTTGCAACAGGAGGCAAGGAGGTCAGGGACCAAAAGTCCTGGTATAGAATGGATTGTCGTTGTGGATCCGGAAGTCACGGGAAATGATGACAGGGGTGTGGTGGTGCCAGCAGAGAGCAGGGCAAACGTCTTTAATGATGACCACAGGGATGGGGAAGGGGCAGACAACTGCATAGGAGGGGGGATGGGGTGCTGTCCAGGAACGGTTCTTCTACGGTCTCAGATGGGCAGCCTACTCCCTCTGTTGCCCTGGACCCTCTGTATGAGAGTCTTCCTGGCCTTCCTCTTCCTGAAGTCTCACCTTCTCTGTCCTTGCCCCAGGCTGCCTGCAGCACCCCCACCCTGCACTCGATCTCCCTTTCCCGCAGGTCCCGTCCTCAGTACCAGCTGTCATGGAGGAGAAGCTGCAGCAAAGGGAGCAGTTGCAGCCTCAGGGTCCAGGAAGGCTTACAGTCACCATGGAAACCCCTGGGCGGAGCTTTAGCAATGGGCGGGGCCCCAGGGAGAACCCACACCCCTTGAGGAACAGCTCACCCGCTGCCTGTTCTCAGATCCCCTCAGGTCCTGGGACACCAGGTCCGGATGCCCCCGTGGGCAGGTCACCGCCCGCCACCAGTTGCTCCACCTGTTAAACGAAGGCTCTGGGTTGGGCGAGAGGGAGCTGGGCGCTGCTAAGGGCGAGGGTCGGCAGGGGCGCCGGTTAGGGCCCTAGGGGATGCGAGGTGGTGTCTGGGTAGTGAGTGATGTCAGAAGAGCCGCCCAGCGATTGGCTGACGGAACTGCCTGGTGATTGGCCAGGGGCGCGGTTGTGACGTCACGAGGAGGCATTGTGACGTGCATGCCAGGGGGTTATAAAAGCTGAGCGCCTGCCCAAGGCCTTGCTGAGGAAAGAGATGGCTTCACGTGGAGCGTCTCCTGCTCCTCCTACTCTTTGCAGCGTTCTCCACGGCATTCGCCATCCCAGAGGAAAGTGAGCCCCCCTCCTCCCACTCATTCTGACCCGGGGCCTCTCGGCCACACCCTGCAATCCACCTTCATGTTCCCATGCGCCTTCATGTGGTCCCATAAGGCCCTGCACCCGCACCTGGTGCCTCATGAACTCCCCAACCCAGGGCTCTTAACTACTCAGTTACCATGTGGCAGGGGTAAGTCTGATGCTGGGAATCAAGAGTACGAGGACACTTACCCAGGTGGGGAGGCCCCTCCCAGAACTCTGGCATCGAAACCCACCTCAACATAGGGTGAGTGCAAGCCCCCCAACCCAGCTCAGCTCAGGAAAAATGAGTCCCCAGGATGCCCAACCAGCTGTGAGCCCCCCAACCCAGCTGAGCACAGGATGAGGGAGTCCCCCAGACACCTGCCAGCACAAGTCCCCTGACCCAGTTCAATACAGTAGGGGGAACAAGTCCCTTGGACACCAGGCCAACTGTGAGGCCCCCAACCCAGCTGAGAACAGGGTGAGTGAGTCCTCCAACCCAGCACAACAAAGGGCAGCCGCTGACCCCTGCACCCCGTCCCTGGGGACCCCACCCAGTTGTACACCAAGTATGTAGCCCCAAGTTTCCACTGGATGTTCCCCAAGTTCCTTGTCTGGCTGTGGCTGTCAGCTCCTCTGCCAGGCCCAGGTGAGCTGCCTGGAAGAGGCTGCTCCCTGGTAGAAGAAAAATACCTTCTACCAGTCATCGTGCGCCCCACAACCCCGAGAAAATGAAAAGCTGAGAATCTGAGCCCAGAAGTTGCAGAGTGAGGAGAGCGGCCTCAGAAACTTCCCATCACCTCCTGGCAACCTTGGCCCTGGCTGTATCCCTGGCTCCCGGGGCTGCCCCAACCGCCAGAAAAAGGAAGAACCAGTCCCAGCAGCCCCTCCTGCCCAATCTGTAAAACTGATGGAAGGCCAGGAGACGGGGCAGGAAGAACCACCTGAACACAAAAAAGTGGGGCATCTTGACCCAGACGTGAGAAATCTGAGGCCACCTGTCCAGGCAGAAATCCATCTTCCAGTGGAGGGGCCGGTCAGGGGCTGTCTGTGAAGGCAGAGGTTGCTGCTGCCTCTGTTGGAGGTGGGCTGGGAAACAGTGGTTCATGGCCAGGTGCCGAGGCCTGGCTGGTGCTTGGCCCAATTCAGAGTACAGACATCCTGATGGGTAACACTGCCAAGATGCTGGTGGGCTCATGGCCTGAAGATTTTCAACTTGGGACCGACTTCAGCCTGAAGTCCTGGTGGCATATGACTTGAGGAGCCTTTTTCTTCTGAGTTCTCTTGATCAGAGGCAGCAAAGACTGCCTGAAATATCTGCTTGTCAACTTGGCGTCACAGGAAGGACACAACTTAAAGAACTTGCCAGAGAGCCAGGGCTTCCTGGACACAGCATAAGATGAGGAGGGGGACCGCGAGCAAATTCTAGAGACCCAGGCCCTGAGCAGAGGAGTCCTTGGCAGGGCGCTCCTGGCTAAGGACAAGCACTCCAGATTGGAGGGGGAGGGGGAGGCCTTATGAGATCAGGCTGAGCAGGGGGGTCAGCTGCAGGCCGAGGTCCGTGAGCCGGAGGGAGAGCTGTGGGGAAAAGCGGGGATTCCTGAAAGCTTTTGCCTTCCAGGGTACATTTTCACTGCCCATCCCAGGAGGGTGCAGAGGGGAGCTGGGGTGGAATGTGGGGCACCTCCTTAAGTGAAGGTGGCGTGAGCTTCGTTATATGTGTTTTAAATAAATGCATGGGAATACAAGAGAAGCGTCCCGGGTAATGGTGATGTGCAGCCTGGGTTCACAGTCCGTGCACCCGCCACAGGAAGCCTCGCGTTCTCCGGCTGGTTGGGTCTTGACAGGGCAACTGTCTAATTTGACCCTGAGAACAGAGCCATGAGGTGGGCAGGGTCCCCACAGCTCTGAGAAGGTGTCGGTGTGTTACAGAGAGCTGACACAGCACAACCTGCCCCACCCCGTGAACACTTTTCACACGTGTTGACTCCTTTAAAACTCAGAGCCAGTGCTGAGGTGGCACCATGCTGATAGAAAAGCAGAAGAGGAGTGTCTGCACACAGGTATTTCTGCATAGACCGTTTCTGCCCGACACCTCACAGCCAGTTTGTGGCAAAACTTGGGTTTGGACCCTGAAGTTATGGCTCCAAACTCCGGCCACAGCAGCAGGTGCTTCTCACCCGCAGGTTCCTGTCTGATGCAGGCCTTTGATGAGCAGCTGTGAGGGAGAGACCAGAGTGGAGAGAGGCCAGAGGTGTGGGACGCCTTCCCTGTCTCTGGGTGAGTTGGTGTGGGTTGAGGGCGGCAGGTGAGGCACTAGAGGGAGGGGACCAGGATGGTGGACTGCATGCTCAGAGCCACGGAAGCGCCGAGGGACTGGGGGAGACGTCAATTTGCTCTGGCTGTTCTAGGTGCCGGGCTGGATGGACAGAGTGGGGTGGAGCGGGAGACAGGTGGGAACAGGTGCATCTGGGAGACTGGAGGGTGTCGGTGGACGGAGGGAGGTTGTGGCCTCCAAGAGGCAGAGCTGAGAATCGGTGATGAATTGGGGGTCGGGGCGGGGGGGGGGGGGGGACACCAAGGTTCCAGACTCAGCTCTCCTAGGCAGTGGTCCCTCTCAGCTCCAGGCACCGTGGGCTGGAGCTCAGGTGAGGTGTGGATCCCAATGAGGAGGGCCTGCCTGCGGCTCAGGTGGAGGTGGAGGTGGAGAGCCTGGAGCTGTGGCCCAGGGACAGTGCTCGAGGCAACTGGGCATAAACTAACGAGAGTCATCAAGAAGGCTGGGTCTCTGGGGGAAGATGAAGGGGACTGGGATGGTACTTACACCAGTTGGAGGGCTGCTGGTTTCAGGAGACAGCGGGGAGGGTGGTGGAGTCCAGGTAGCTCGGACCTGAGGGGAAGTGGCTCAGAGCTGGTGTTAACGTGATAAATGTCGGTGTCAGATGGTGAGGACGGGGAGGAGGTGCAATTTAAGAAGTGACATTTGGTGGAGGTGGACACTGTGTAGGACCTGGACCACTGGGCTGGCCTTCCCACAAGAAGAGGCAGCATTTCACACTCACTTCCTGTCAACTGGGGACCCCAGGTCTTCTGCGCTGGGCAGGGTCTGAGGGGCAGAGGTCAGAGGGCGCAGGGTGCCCTTGTGGGATCTCAGCACTGGGAACCTCCTCTGCTCAGCTGCTCAGACCCAGCCCACCGGCACCCTGGGTATCAGGACACAGCAGCCTCCTGGAGGCAAGCAGGGCCAGGACCCGAGTTTGGGGGTGTGATTGGGAACTGCTCACTTCTGAGCCCCCAGTTCTTTCATCTGTAAAATGCAGATGACTAGGGCAGGGATGGGATGGAGTGAGCAGGAGGCAGGAGATGGCAGGGTTTGGGGAGGGGATGTTAGGGCCAGGAGACTGATGGAGTTGCAGGGAGGGAGGGTCCACTGTGGGCCGGCTCCTTGTCCTGGCCCTTCCTTCCTGAAGGCAGAACATCAGCTCTGGGAGGAGCGCACTCTGGGTGCTGCCTCTGCCCCACACCGGCTGTCTCTGCCCGCCTCGGTCACAGGCTGCCCAGTCCAGCACCTGCTTTCCCCAGACTCCTCCTGTCTCCTTCATTGCTGCTCTGCCCTGCTAGGTCAGGGCCCTGGGGCTGCAGGGAAGCTTGGAGCTCCAGAGAGCCAGAGTGGGAGAGCTAGCTTTAGGGAGCTATTCTGTGACATGTTGACAAACACCGCATTAGTATATATATATATTTTGAAGTATTTATAGATTCACAGGAAGCTGCTGATATTACAAAAAGGTCCCAGGTACCCTTCACCCATTTTGCCCCAGTGATAACATCTTACATCACTGTGAACAATATTGATGCCATGAAGCCGACATTGGCACAATGTGCATGTCTGTTTCTGTCATTTTATCATGTGTACATTCTCGTAACCAACAGCACAATCCACGTGCGAAACTGCTCCATCAGGACAAAGATCCCCCTTGTGCTGTGCACCTCTATCCCTACCATTCCTGTCCGAGGCAGCCAGCAATCTGTTCTCCGTCTTGGGAGTTTTGTCAATTCGATAATGTTACGTAAATGGAATCATACAGCTGTGACCTTCTGAGATTGGTTGGGTTTTTTCCACTCAGTGTAATGTCTCTGAGTTGTGTGTATCAATAGTTCTTTACTGAGTACGGTTCCATGGTGTGGACGTACCACAGGTTGTTCATTCACCTTTTGAGGGACATTTTGAGGGCCAATTGAAAGCCCAGTGACCCAGCTCAGCACTGGACAAGGGAGTCCCCTGGACACCTGACCATCCGCAAGAACCCCCAACCCAGCTTAGCACAGGGAGACTAAGCCCCCAGGACACTCAGCCCACCAGAAGCCCTCTTATTCAGCTCAGCCTAGGGCGAATGAGTCCCCTGGACACTCAGCCAGCTGCAAACCCCTGAGCCAGCTCAGCATAGGAAGGGCATGGGTTTACATGTTCCACGTATAGGACAAAGGCCAAAAGAGCAGGTAACCTGGGAGAAGAAGAGTTTGAGTTGAGCTCAGAGTTAGGCACAAACCAGAACATGCGAAGCCCTTAAGCTGCGATGAGGAATTTGGATTTTATGCAAATCATCTGACCACAGTCCAAATCCAAATTAAGGCCAAGCTCAGAAACAGGTGCTTACCTCATTGGTCAAAGTAGTTTTAGATAATCATATAGTCCTTGATTATCTACTTGCTGAGTAAGGAAGCGTCTGTCCAGTGGTGAACACTCCCTGTTGCACGTGGATAAATGCCTCTGGGGAAGTAGAAACCCAATTACATAGAATTAGAGAGCAAGCAAATTGGTTACAACTAATTTCCCCTAACAATCCACTGTCTTTTTTTTTTTTTTTTTTTTTTTTTGGTGAGGAAGATTGTCGCTGAGCTAACATCTGTGCCAATCTTCCTCTATTTTGTATGTGGGACACCACCACAGCATGACTTGATGAGTGGTGTGTAGGTCCGCACCCAGGATCCGAACCAGTGAACCCCGGGCTACTGAAGCAGAGAACATGAGCCTAACTACTAGACAAGCAGGCCGGCCCTTCCATTATCTTTGATTTGTTCAGCTGGTTCTCTTCAGGCCTGGGCTCCTGATTTACAACCATCCTGCAAACTGGGCTTATAGTATTATTCCTTATCTTTCTCTGTATATTTGTTGTAAAGTTCTGTACCTATTGCCTGTCAAACCTCTGTAAAAACAATGTACCCAGTAAGGTGATGCTAGCTCAGTGCTTTGAGATGATTTCCAATGCCTATGACCTTGGAGAAATACAGACTTAGATGGGAAATGGCTGAGAGTTTTCCCTCCTAACCTTCCTTGTTATTCCAATGTGGCCTAAATGGTTTCCAACCACTGTGTACCTTCCATCCATCGTGGGACATGACAGCCAGGAAAAGTCCTTCCTGTTACTGAGCGACAAAACCACTACATGCAGAGGACCAGACTCCTGATCAGTGATGCTTTCAGAGAAAGATCCTGATCAAAAGGGGAATATGTGGAAATTGATAAAGGAAACCTCAGCTAAAGTGGAATCAGGAAGGCCTGTAGGGGAAGCTCTTATGCCCTATCGTACATCGTCAGTTACTCCAAACAGGAAGACACATAAGCTTGCACCTCTGGCAGGAAGTGCAACTACTTTACTACTCAAGGAAGATTTCTCTCTCCTCCTGGCAACAGCCCAGCCAATGAGAAGCACCACAGCACAGCCAATGAAAAGCTGTGGCCACCCTGAACTATTACTTTCCTCCAATGGACTTTCGATTAGAACAGCCACTCCCTACTCCCCTTTTGCTCCGTAAAAGCAAGTGCATTCCTTTGTCTCTCTGGATTTGCCTGTGGTTCACCGTAGCATGCACATCCTAAACTGCAATTCTTTGCTGATCCCATATAAACTCTTTTTTTGCTGGAGAAATAACTAGCTGTCTACTTGCTTAAGGTCAACACTGTTCATCCTTGGGTCCCCCATTGACCCCCAAATCTTTGTTAAGCACCTGTGCCTTACAGCATGGTTCCCATGAGTAGGACAGGGTACTCCCCTGGACCCAGCATGGGCCTGCTCTGTTGTTGGTGAACCATTTATTGAATGCAAGTGGAGACAATGAGTTCCTGGGGAAGATGGAGCCTCGAGATGGCAGGACCACCGGGAGGATGAAGCCCCAGTCTGGGGGGCCCGTCACCACACACGTTCGGGTGCCGTCCAGGCTACTGGCACTTTGCACCAACGTGGAGCAGGCACTGGCCTCAATTGCCTCCTAGCCTGCGCTGCTCAGGGCAGCATCTCTGGCCTCGTGTGTCCACTGTTCCAGAAAACCAGATCCATTCCTGAAATGGGAAAAGAAAAATGAAGAACAAATTTTCTACAGCACAGAGAAACATCCAAATAAAAGACACAATAGCTTGCCTGCCTGTGGACAGCTGGAACCATCAGAGGCTGGTCCACTTCATGGGCTGTTCACACCAGCAGCTTCTGGGTCGTGCTGATCCCACTCAACCTGGACATTCGCAAGCTTTCAAAAGGCACCAGTGCTCCGGAGTTTCCACCAGCCATGAGAGCAATGAACTCGATGCTTCTCACACATCACTTTTCTGTCAAGTTGGGTGTAGGGGATGATGCAGGTGAACATTTCTCTCTATAAATGTTGGTGAAAAGTGCTGTATCAAGAGGCACTTAGGTCTGGCTGGGTTGGAGTGTTGAGTGAGCTCCGTAAGGGTGACCTTGTCTGTCTGGTTCCCAATCTAACTCCACCCAGGGCATCCCTCATACACCGCTCTTGCAAAGAGACTCAGTAAAGGTTTGTTGAATGAATGTGTGCATCGAAAAATGAGGCACCAGGGCCAGAAGGGGTGTGGGTGGCAAGTGGCCCCATTCCAGATCCGGGGCACCCAAAAGAAGGACTCCTACCCTTTTGATTTCAGGGGCCAGTAATAGTCCTCAGCACCTGGTAGGGTGCCACCTTTCTATTTTCAGAAATAACCTGAAGTGCAGTTCTGTCCACATTGCTGCCTTCTCATCAAAGGAGGGAGATTTTCCCACCAATAGGGAAGGACACAACGTCAGAGAAAAGCCAGTCCCCTTGGAGAAATGGGGACAGGTGGCTGATTGTGCAAACCAGGCCCCTTTGAGGGTGAAGGGAGGTGCCCCACCATCACAGGACATGGGGACAACAGGCATCACCAGTGGTCGGGCACAGAGGTTGTGCAGTCACCCTGCCGGGAAAGGGTGCTGTGACTTCCTCGGCTGGCTGCAGGTGTTCTGCGGAGCCTGGTGTCCTGGAAGCCACATGAAGAAGATGCTCAGGGAAGCAGGGGTGGTCAGGTGTGTCAGCGCCCCTGAGAGGGCAGGACGGCTGGCGCCGGGTGAGGTGGTCCTGCCGGTCCCCTTGTGTCCCTCTTGCTGGTTCTGTGTGCCACCCCCAGCTTCTGCATGGCGGGCCCCTGCAGAGGCCTGCCCTGTGTGACTGGCTGCTCAGGCTGCAGGTTCAGGGAGCGGAAGCACCTGGCGGTTATGTCCCCCTGGGGCACCCTGAGCCCTCCAGCCGTGGCAGACTGGCGTTGTAGGAGGCAGGTGCACCTTGTGCCCAGGGTCCCCAGGATCCTCTGGCGCCCGCACCTCGGGGGTGTTCGGCAGGCGGGCTGGGGGCCGCAGACCCGGCCGAGGCTGGAGGGGACGCTGTCCCTTCGGATGCCCCTGCGGGCGGGCCTGGACGGCACGGCTCCCTCCCAGGCTCCGTAATGAGAGCACGGACGAAGACGGGTGGAACCGCTGCTTAAGTGATTTCTCACCTTCAATGGTGGACTGGTAGCTATTTTACCTAGTGTCTTCTATTTGAATACGCTAAGTTTCCCCTGCTTATCACCATCTCTGGCCCCACGTGTCTGCAACCAGGTGATCATTTAGGGAACCTCTTGGATGCCTTGTGACCATTCAAGCCCTCCGCTGGCCTCAGGTCGGGCTCCTGTGCCAGCTGCGGCTGTGGGAGGAGAGCGGCCTCGCCGTGTCGTGGGTGCCGCTGCTGCCTCGGAGCCCCTGTGTGCCCAGCTTCTGAAAGAACAAGATCTCGGCAGCGCTGACAGCCAGTCAGAGGCTCATACTAAGAGCCAGGTCAGCCTGGGGCCCTTATCACCCTTCTGCTTCCCATCCCCAAACAGAGCCAGCCAGGACCCTGCGGGAGTTCCAGAACCATCAGCGTCAACACGGGCCCAGGATGCAGGCGGCCCGGGACTGGGATGTCCCCCCCTCACAGCGGTCAGGGGTGGGGCTGGAGGAAATCACAGAACACAGAATTCAGAGATGGAGTGTGGTGACAGCGGCTGACCTGTCCTCCAGGCAAGACCTTCCACCAGCAAAAAGATTATGACTTGCTAAAGGCTCAGATGATGAGCATTTTTTAGTAATAAAATATTTCTTAATTAAGGTATGTATTGCTTTTTAGACATAATGCTATTGCATGCTTAATAGACTACAGTGTGGTGTAAACATAACTTTTGTATGCACTGAGAAACCAAAAAAATTGTGTGACGCTTTATTTCGATATTCGCTTTATTGTGGTGGTCTGGAACTGAACCCACAATATCTCCGGGGTCTGCCTGTACAACATGACAGAGTCACCCTGTGAATATCCATTAGTTTCCAGTGGAAATAGTGTGGTTCTGCTTCCCAGCCCCAGAGGGCTTCTCAGCTCAATTAAACAAGTTGAACCAATGTTAAAATATTTCTTTTATTGACCTAAAGCAGGCATGGGTGTTAGGTGGAATATGCTAGTCAATTAAATTTTCCAGTGGGGTGAGGACTAATCCATTTCTTTCCCAAAGACTCCAGAGCATTCCCCTTTCTCCTGTGACTTCCACCTTAAGAAATGAACATTGTAATCAGAAGAAGAGAGAAGTAAGGTGGCCTTTAGGACAATGTTTCTGAAAATGGAGTCTCAGACCATCAAGGCCCTGTTAAAAGCATGGATTTCTGGGCCCCCTTCAGATGCCCCTGGGGAACCCTGTGGGTGTTGAACTCCAGGGACCCCCTACAATTGGAGAACAGTTTAGTGAGGGGGTCTCAGAGCAGGTCCCAACAGCCATTTTCATTGCTGCCTTTCACAGTTAATTCTAGCGACACATTTTCTAAATGCACCATTGTTTTAAGTGATCTTTTTTAAAGAACCAACTCTAGGTTCTGCCATTTCCAATCAATCTTAGCTTTTGCAGCCCTGCCAGTTCTCATAGACACTTGACACTTCCTGCCATCTGCTATGGAGTAGCTTTGGGGAAAGAGATGATTTCCTCTCCTCTTTCTCAACCCCTACCCTCGGCTTTTTCTGTTTAACTAAAAAAAGTCAGAAATGGGGAAATTTATATTTTTAGAGGATCTTTTCCTAGCTGTGCTAGGGCTGTAGCTGGTGATCTGGTGGCAGAAGAAATTCCTGATGGATAAAATGTGCCATGTCTAGATGTTCCAGCAACAAAATTGTGCCCTTGAAGTGAGAGCGTGGCCCCAGATGGGGTCCTTTGGGAGCCCTCAACATGGGAACAAGACTGTTTCAGACGACTCTGGGAGAGGCCAGTGCAATAGGGCCCTTCATGATTCCACCCCCTCACTGTCATCACCTTCTGGGGCATATGCTCCCTCCTCAACCTGGAGTAGAGAAGCCATTTGTAGATTGAGATGGTTAAGCCTCACTATACAATTACCCCAGGAAAAATGCATAAATGGGTTGGCATGACTTTGTTATATATGTGTTTGTTATATAACTCACTGACCCACCTCCTTCTGGGGAATTCAACACAAATGCCCATCACCTGATAAATAGATAAACCAAATGAGGTGTATCCATAAAATGAAATATTATTTGGCCATAAAAAGGAATGCATGAACCTGAAAACATTATGCGAAATGAAAGCAGTCACAAAAGGTACTTGATGGGCCATGCAGGACCAGAGCGACAGTGCATCTGTAGCCAAGTGGCAAATCCACAGTGAGGGCTCTAGGGAGAGAAACTGAAGTATGACTCAGCAATCTGGTCCCGGGGTATGGCCCCGACATTTACCAGCTTTATGGCCTTAGTCAAGACTTGAACTTCTCTAAACTTGAAGTTTCTCATCAGTGAAATTAGGATAACGGTGCCCTCATTTGTGAGGATCAAATGAGACTGTGTTCAGTGCTATGGGAGTTTGTTATGCAAATAGGCCCCCAATCACTTTTTTGTGTCTCTCCACCCTTAGTGGTTCACTCTCACATTGATTCTGGGATTAGCCATGTGACTTGCTTTGACTGATGGTGCCTTAGCAAACATAATTCAAGCAGAGGCTTAAATACTGTGTTTTGGTTCTTGCCTTCTTACACCACACACAAGTCTACCATGTGAAGACGCCTGGGCTAGCCTGCTGGAGACTGTGGCTCTGCTGTCAGCCAGCCCAACCACCAGCCATGTGAGTGGGGCTGTCTTAGACCATTCTATCCCCATTGAGCTGCTAGATGACTGCAGCCATAAAAGGACTCCAGGTGCAGAAGAACCAGCCAGCTGATCCCAGCCAAAATTACTGACGTAGATGTCAAAGAACACTAGGAACAAGTTTGTAGGCAAGCAAAGTCAGCTTTATTTAAAGTGCTGCAGCAAGGGGGAGTGTAAATGAGAGGAACAGAAGGGGAAGCTGGGAGGGGCTTATTAAGGATTTGGGCATCTGCTGGCTGATTCCATAAAGGGTTTAGGGCAGCAGGAGCCACTTTTTGATTGGGTGCTGTCAGAAAGTCGGGGCAACTTGGTGACTGGATCTCTGGTCATTTTTATCTACAAGGCAGGAGGATTAAAGTGGGACTAGAGTTGTTAGTGGTAACTCATATAAGCTGGAAGAGGGAGATGTTTAGTTGTTCTTGAGTTGTGGAATGTCCTTGTCTCTGTATAGTTTCAGGCATGATCACAAAATTGTCTTGTCTCTGTCTCTCCATCATGGTCAAAGAATGGCCTTGTCTGAGTATTACTTATATGCTGTAAAAATTGTTTGTTTACATTCAGGAACACTATAGCTGCCAACTGTTGGGGCCACTTTTTACTTTCTTACACAGAATCATGAGTAAATAACATGGTTGTCTTAAGCCTCTAAGTTTTGGTATGGTTTTTAATTCAGCAATAGATAACTTCAGTAACTGTAAAGCTCTAAAGTGCTGGGTTATAGATGTAGAAAGATGTAGAAACTCCTGGGTTATAGATGTAGAAAGCCCCAACTTCATGGGATTTCAAGGGGAGGGGATGAGTAGAATGTGGGAAGTTGACCAGGACCTGCCGAGGACAAGGGACAGGCAGGGCCACACACATGCTGCAGACAAGCTTGTCTAGTCACCTCCTCCTTGATTCCAGCTCTGCCTCTTTCAGAGGCTGCTTCCCAGGACTATCTTCCTTTCCCAGGCCCTCCCCATGCAGGGTCCACTCCTGGCTTGAGCAGCAGCAGGGCAAGGTCAGGCTCCCCAAGACCTCTTCTCAGTTAACATCTCTGACAGGCATATGAAAGACTTGATGGTCTGTGCATGAACAATCTATTCTGTTCACAGAGACTTCTTGGGGTTCAGCCATCAGAAACGACAGAGGGCCCTATTTTATTTTTGGTAGAAGGATATACCTGCCCTTGCTCTTGGCACAGGAGGTGCTGACCTATTTTCAACGATGTGTGACTGGGGAGTAATAATTCTTGATTATTGTTTCACCCCTTGAATGACCAATAGCCCAAAAGTGAACTCTTCTGCTTTTCAACCAGATGCTTTTAGCTTAAATCACTGCCGGTCAGGCCCTGGTCATAAATCTCCTGAGGCTAGCTCATGCTTCTTGCACTCACTTCTCCTCCAGCCAAAACCGTCAGTGAAGTTCAGGGAGGAAAGGACAGTAAATCTTGTTTTCCTCTTACAAGTACTCTATAGGGTGTTCCCTACTGACAGTTTAAAAATTGGCTCAAACTTAACCAACTTATGGGAGATATTCTCTCCTTCAACAACAAGGATATGCTTTTCCATTCACGCTCAAAGCCAAAGGCAGTCACTTTATCAGAGTCTGTCAAAGTCAGGGACAGAAAGATCCAGATGACTGAAAAGTGACCACTTATACTGGCTTCGTGAAAAAGAAGAAAGTAAACCCCAGTGGGAAGGCCGGGACATTTGTCTTGGTTCAAGAGGTTCTTAAAAGAAAATGAGAAATACTGACTTCACTTGAGGGTGTTGAATTGTATTTTATATGAAAATTTATTTTTCCAATCACAGGGGACTTTTGAATTTGAATGGACCCTTCCTTCAAACCAGCAGAGAGCCAAACATTGACTAACTGCAGAGTCAGAGCATCAACTCAACCACAATAAACTGGATCATCCACTCCTGGCTGTACAGTTTGTCAGACAATGTCAACGTTAAGATAGGAATGGAATCCATACTTTGAAGCCACAATCACTCAGCAAAGTATTTCCAGCCTTGATGAAAAGTGCAGTGGCCAGATTCTTGGCTCTGTCCCCCTCTGGCTATCACATAAGGGTTTTATATCTCAGTGCCTTTGTTTGTAGAATGTGCTTGCATCTATCTCCCAGGATTGCTATGAAGAACAAGTAAAAAAAATACAATTTTTATCTATGGACAGCTAATCTTCGACAAAGGAGCTGAGGGCCTACAATGGAGAAAAGAAAGTCTCTTCAACAAATGGTGCTGGGAAAACTGGACAGCCACATGCAAAAGATTGAAAATTGACCATTCTTTTTCACCACACACCAAAATAAACTCAAAATGGATCAAAGACCTAAAGATTAGGCCTGAAACAATAAGTCTTCTGGAAGAGAATATAGGCAGTACACTCTTTGACATCAGTTTCAAAAGAATCTTTTCGGACACTATAACTCCTCAGCTGAGGGAAACAATAGAAAGAATAAACAAATGGGACTTCATCAGACTAAAGAGCTTCTTCAAGGCAAGGGAAAATAGGACTGAAACAAAAAAACAGCTCACTAATTGGGAAAAAATATTTACAAGCCACTTATCCGACAAAGGGTTAATCTCCATAATATACAAAGAACCCTCTTCCTGAGCTCCTCAAATGCCCCTTGCTGTCCTGGCTGCCTTGATCCTCCTCCACAAAGTCCTCAGTCCTTTCCACAACTGTCAACTGCAGGATTATCATCTGGCACAGCATTCTGTGCTGACGGGCAATCTCAGTGGTTGATGCCAGTTCCCCACTCAACTGTGAAATATGTTGAATGTCCCTCTTGCTTGGATGAGTGACCATTTCATTACTGGGTTAGTTTTAGGCTATTGGCCCTAGCACAAGGTTCTTAATAAATCCCATGAATGAGATTTAAATTTGTTGTCAGTATTTCCTAGCTCAAAGGATAAAACTCCTTCAAGATAGTAAGTTATGACTTGAGGTCCTTTAAGACTTTAATTATTGTTGTAAAGTTTCTTCTCTTCACCACACCCTAAAATTTCCAAACCATGATTTGCTACATGTAAAGTGGGACTTTCCCCTTAGGAAGTTACTTATCATATTAGGTAGGTTATATAAGTAACCCTTAGGTAGCTACTTATTATATTAACTCACTTTCTTAATAGCATGAGTTCTGCGGATTTCTTATTAAATTAACTCATTTCCTTTCTTTTTTTCCTGTTTTAATGAGATATAATTGACATACAGTCATGTGTCGCATAACGATGTTTTGATCAACAGTGGACTGCATATACGATGGTGGTCCCATAAGATTAGTACTATATAGCCTAGGTGTGTAGTAGGCTATCCCACCTAGGTTTGTATAAGTACACTCTACGATTTTTTCACAATGACAAAATCACCTAACAATGCATTTCTCAGAATGTATCCCCGTCATTAAGTGCCACATGACGGTATAACATTGTGTACGTTTCAGGCATACGATATGATGATTTGATACATGTATGTATTGTGAAATGATTACCACAATAAGGTTAACACCTCCATCACCTCAAGTAATTACCTTTTCAGTGTGTTGTGAGAATGTTTAAGATCTATTCTCTCGGCAACTTTCAGGTATACAGTCCAGCATTTTTGGTCACCATGCGGTACGTTAGATCCCCAGAACTTATAACTGGAAGTTTGTACCCTTTGTCAACATCTCCCCGATTCCCCCACCCCACCTCACCCCCAGCCCTGGAAATCACCATTCCACTCTCTCTTTCTATTTAACTCTCTTAATAGCATGGGTTTTGGGGGAAAATGCCTGCTAAGTATCATGACCTATGGGTACATCTAGAACAGTCCTTCATTAAACCCTGGAAGAACCTGTGACAATTATATATCAGCCTCACCAGGCAGAGCTCATTTTCTGTCATGTTTTGAAAGAAGAAGTGTTGATCTTACACAGGCCCTGCTCCAGCCACGTCACTGACGCCTCATTATGTGGCTCTCTGCTCCCATGGCCTTCGGCTCCTCCATTGCTCCACCCTGGCAGAGGAGCCCCCTGCTCCACTTTCCCTCAGTTCCTTGTGACAATCTTTGGGCAATAATGTCCCCTAACCTCAACACGCACACACACTTCCCAATAATAAATAATAACTTCCAGAAACAAAACAATGTAACAACAGAAAGAAAGTGTTTTCTGTGGGCCTTTTCTTTACTGTGTCAGGCACCAGCTGAGCCCTTCGGTCCATCCTCCTCCTCTTTCCAGACCACACCCAGCGTACAAACGAAGGGGCTCTTTTTCACCCCTTATCAAATAGCTGAGAGCTTTAGTTTATAAACGCTGGGGCAGGGCCTTGAAATATAAGTTCTTTGGGCCGGATTGGAGTTCTTAGGAAGGTGGCCCCACTCACCCCTCCCCTCCCCAAGGACTCAGAAGCAGAAGTCACCCTGAGGATTTAGTCTCAGGATCGGAGGGCAGGACGTGAACTCTTCCAGCCCAAGTTTCTCTCTTTCTGCTGCATGCCACTTTCTTAAAAGTGAAGGATACATCATGTACTATTTGGAAAAGTTTTATCAAAGGGAAATTGTTCTACGAAACGTAATAGTTACCATCCAGAATGTGGGCCATAAGAAAGACTGTTACACAGCCAGGGCCAGGCAATGAGATGGATCAGTCACTTATGCATTTTGAGAAGAGAAAAACATAGTGGCTGTCATCCTTCAGCAGAGAGTATATTGAATGATATTTTATAATTATCTCCCACTCCTCTGACACAAAAAAGGAAAGAACCGGAATATCTCAGTTCCTCCCATCAGAGCATCACGAAAGAAGCATGGCAGTAATATCAGGGCAGCACCTTCAACAGCACCTGCCAGATTTAAGTGGAGATTTTTTTCTGCCAACAGCATTCTCCATTCCCCTACACTAGAGAACTGGCTGAATTTCCTGCTTCAAATGTAATACTCTTTTTTGTGTGTGTGACAAAGTATAATAACTATGGTGTCATACAGTAACACATTAGAAGAAATAATATAACATAGAGGAAGGAAGGCTTCAGTGTTTGCTGAGCGTACCCACTGCCCGGGTCTCCAGGGTCACAGGGTTGATTTGCATCAGACTCCTGCTCTTTTCGCACCACGCCATCCCCTCCTGTGCTCCCTGGAGAATCTGTGAGACAAAGTCCCCATCCCAGCGAATGGCACTTGCACATTCCCATGCAGGACTCCCCCACACTCATAGCTCCTGCTGCAGGGCCTGCTTCAATGCATCCATGTGTTTCCAGGCGCAGCTCATGCCCAGTGAACTGAAGCTTTGAGCCATGCCCTCACCAGCAAGGACTTGCAGCCTGGCTCCCAGTGGGCGGTTGCAGCCATCTGGGAGTGAGAACTATGCTAGCTGCAGGTGTTCATCTGACCCCCTTGTGCAGGAACTGGCAATCTAGGGGGAGAAGGGGGATGGTCCTGTCGTCGGAGCGGAGGGTCTCATCACTGCTGCTCAAAGCTTTCCTCACTAATAGATAACTTCTATAATCATAGCAAATATAGATTTTTAAAAGGAAAGAAATGAGCTCTGGCCTCCTCACTTCTTTTTTTTTTTTTTAAAGATTTTATTTTTCTCCCCAAAGCCCCCCCAGTACATAGTTGTATATTCGTTGTGGGTCCTTCTAGTTGTGGCATGTGGGACGCTGCCTCAGCGTGGCTTGATGAGCAGTGCCATGTCTGTGCCCAGGATTCGAACCAACGAAACACTGGGCCGCCTGCAGCAGAGCACACAAACTTAACCACTCAGCCACTGGCCTCCTCACTTCTAAGATGAGCAGGGAGGAGCAGAGGAACAAGTGCCACTTCCCTTTGTCTAGGCAGTATGGTTCTCAAAGTACTTAGTAAGAGTTTAGGTTTGTCCAGGAAAACAGAAATCCCTCTAGGTCTTAGGACAGAAGAATTTAATACAGAGAATTGGTTGATCAATTGACAGGAGTGCAGAGGAATTCAACAGGGGACAGCGGAAAAAACAGAGATTAGTCAGAGCAGGAAGCCACTAACATGCCAGAGCCCACGAGACAGTGGGAGCAGAAGGTGTGACCAGGGGCCTAAACCTGGTCTTCCTGTAGATGCTGGATTATGGTGGGACAGCCCGGAGGGATCTGGAACATATAGGGAGGGGCTGTCTGGCAGAAGCTGGAGCCATGAAGGAAACAGAGCCACTGCTGAGATGCAAGAAACAGAGACAGAGGAAGCAAAGCTCCAGGGTTCCCTCCCTCCCTCCAGTTGTCACCAGGCCTCGCATTGGTTGAGCCTCAGCAGAGGCCGTTGTAAAGGAGACTGGGAAATGTCATTCCCTGAGATCACAGGAGGTGCAGAGGAAGGGCTGGAATGGATCTGAGACACACCAGGCATCCAGTCTTTCCTTTTGCCCTGGTTTACAGACCAGGAAGACTAAAACCAAGACCAAGAAATTAGATGTCCATCCCATAATAAACTCAAGCTTAGCTCTTCTGGCACCGTCACACCCTTGGAAGGAGGAGCCAGAATGTGCTCAGATGTGAGAGTGAAAGAAGATCCCAGAAAGACTTTAGGAGATCCGAGGGTAAGGGCTGAGAGGGCCATAATGAGAATTTGCTCAGGCTGAGCTCCTAAGGATGGGTGGGTTCTGGGGTCTGAGGGTTGGAGTGTCTTGGACAGCAGAAGTCTAAACCCTCAAATTCTATTAGATGACCTGGGCAAGAGGTGGTCCATGACACAGCAAAGGGAGAGAAATCAGAGCAGGGCTTCCAGCTATACAAAGGTGATTTTGTAACCATATCATGTACTTGCATTGGACAACCTATTTGTTGTTTGAACCACTAATGCTTTGCACTCTAATAAAAGTGTCCTCATACTTCATAAGGCTGGTGGCGGGGGAGGTGGGGGGGTGTGCTGCTATGAGCTGGAAGAGCTTAATGGTTATGAGTCCAGGCAGGCCAGGGCTGGAAGTCCAATGCTGCAGCTTACTGTCATAGCCATGACACCTTCTATAACTTTTCCATTTCCTCTTGTGGAAGATGGGTTGCTAACACCTGCCTCACAAGCTGTTGTGAGGATTACCTGAGACAATGAATTTAGCAATGAAGCACTTAGCACAGGACCTGGCCCCCAGAAAGTGCTGAAATAATGGCGGGGCTGGTCTGCAGGTGAGAGAATCCACTCACAGCCTTGGACAGGACCACCTATCCGCCAGGACCCCTGGATGCTCTGATCCCCAGCTGGGTCAACAAGAACACACAGCAAAGGATAGCCTCCTTGCCATCTGCTTTTA